TCAGTTCAGCTATAGCCATTCTGTTAGGAGTTTTAGAATAGGCTGGGTGCCCAATATATCAATAAATCTATCTCCCTATCCACCAATTCCCTTGCGTAGATTCATTTGGAAACACATTTGGAAATTCATCTAACAATAGCGGATATCATTTAATCAGCGATTACCAGATTTGTTCAAAGCAACACATAGCATAGAATAACCCTATTTCCTTTCCTGATCAATTATATATGCTCATTCCAGATTATCAAAAATAAGGTGAGGCATTACCCGTTACCCACAAAACACAATTTCTTCTTGTCTTTTTTTTTTAGCGTGGATGTTGTTGTTTTTTAGATTATCTTTCAGATCAATTTTATGATTTATTATTACTACTTACAATCACTGCTATGATAATTTGGAAAGCCTTACAGAATAAATTATAACACTGAAGAGGCAGGCGCTGAAAAATATGCTGCAAAGCCATTTTTTCCGGTTATCAAAATGATAGATGAACAAAATATTAGTGGTGGAGCAAGTTCAAGATTTTCAGATGTTAGTTGCTGAAGTTAGATCTGAAGGCATCAAAATTGGAGACAATCTTATTGTGGCAGGGATTATTGACAAACTACCATCATCTTGGAGGGAGTTCCAGAAGTCAATGTGTCATAAGCAAAAAGAGACGTCCTTGGAGACTCTAATCACACAGATTCGGGTGGAGGAAAAAGCACGAGGATAAGATGCGCTTATGAAATAAGAGCATTCCACTGCAAAGGTAAATTTAACTTCTGGAAATACTTTACCTAAAGGTCGAATTCATAAAAATAGTCACTTGAAGTCAGTTAAGAAAATCTGAAAAAATACTGGAATGCCACAAAATAAAAATTACCCGAGGCAAAAGAAATGGAACCAAGAACCCCCTTCACAAGATCTGACAAATGTGACACGTTTTATGTGTGGCAAAGAAGGCATATTGCTCAAATTAGCAAATTTCAGAAACAACAGTCTCGACCACAGGCTAATGTTACCGAGAAACCATTTGTGGCTATGATTACAGATATTTTTATAGTTCAATCTGTGGAAGGGTGGTGGGCAGACTCTGGTGCCAATAGGCATGTCTGTTATGATAAAGATTGGTTCAAAGATTTCACTCCTTTTAATGAGGAGAGGACTGTTATGCTTGATGACTCTAGTTTAACCAAGGTGCTCGGGTGTGGGGAGCTGAATTTTACCTCTGGACGTGTGCTTGTTTTAAAAGACGTGTTGTACACACCGTCCATGAGGAAAAATTTGAAATCGAGTTATTTGCTCAACAAAGCTGGTGTCAAGCAGACTATTGAATCTGAACAATATGTAATCACTAAAAAAGGCATATTTGTGGGGAAAGGGTATGCCTGTGATGGAATGTTTAAATTAAATTTTAAGAATAAGAAAGCACATGTTTCTGTTTATATGCTGTCTTCTATGAATTTTTGGCATGCTTGTTTGTGTCATATTAATAGCCGATATGTAGGAGTCATGAGTAGTTTAGGATTAATTCCCAGACTAACAAATAAGTTTGAGAAATGTGAAGTTTGCAGTCAAGCAAAAATAACTAAATGTCACGACCCAAACCCGGCCCTATGGGTTTAGCACCGTAACCGGCCAGTAATCTGAGATTACCGAAGGCCTGCAGAACAGTAGAACAGTAAAACAGAGTACAGGGCCTGGCAAAAGCCAAAACAGTAAATAAACAATGTCCAATGAGCCGTGATAGTCTGTATGCAAAAAGACTTTCATACATATATCCATAATCAGTACAGAACAGTATGCACAAAATGCATAATCATTCAGATTAGGGACTCAACCCTTTACATCACAGTACAGTAAGCATTCAGTCTATACAAAACAGTAAGACAGTACAGAAGGGGGAATTGTAAAACAGCCCTAAGCCTTAACAGGATAGGCTCGAAACCTCGCAGTGAGGCACATAGGCTGGCTTGACAAAACTGGAGTAACCCTGACGCTCCTAGCCGCGGTCTGGTGCCTGAACACCTACATATATATAAGAGCAGTGAGCTAAAGCCCAATGAATAACATAAAGCGTAAAGAGGTTAAGAATGAATGTCCTTACAGTAATGAAAACAGTTCATTAAATCAGTATTTCAGTCATTCAGTCAGTACAGTCATATGTGGTACATCCATCAGCATATCAGTACAGTAAACAGTAGGTCTTAAAAGACCGAGCAGTAATGATGGCCATCAGTCAGTAAATAGTAGTGGTTCCAACAAGGGAACTGACAGAGAATTCTGCCACAGTAACAGTAAACAGTAGGTGCTAAGGATGCCACAATACAGTTCAGAATATAGGACATACATTCATTCAATTAACAGTAGTCAGTTCAGAAAGCAGTACAGTTCAGTTGTTCAGAAAACAATTATTTGTGAACATATCTTTACACAATCGTTACTCACAGAGTTCTGGGCTACAGTATGCTAGAGCGTGCCTCCCCAGTCGCCAACCCTACACAGTTAACAGATTGAACACACTAAGCTACACAGCTGGGAAAGATAGTAACTTAACCCCTAATGCCTCGGTGTGTTCTACATCTATATCCTCAGTAAGATGCCTTAAACTAGGCCTAAGAATGCCTAGGATGAGATGATGATGCAAAGATGTGATCAGAAAACAGTTTCAGAAGTTTCAGAAAAACAGAGTCCCGCTCGAGTACGGTTTTACCCGCTCGAGCGTCAACTTTCCTGCTCGAGCGTACTGTAAAAGTACTGGATGGGTGAAATCTCCGCTCGACGGATGCTCGACGCCCGCTCGATCGTGAGACACATGCCTCCGCTCGAGCGGACTGTAAAACAGTGCAGAGAAAATACTGG